CAAAGGCACTTCTATGCCAATTATTTTGGCGGAACTTTTTTTGGCGGACTACGTTGCAAAAGAGATGAAATTCATATTTTAGATGAATTTCAGTACGTTTTAAATACTTTATAATATCTATTTAAGCAAGAGTCTGAGTAAAATCCAAATTGAATATAAGATGAAATATATGATGTTTAACAATAGACTGATTATTTTTTTTCTCTTGTACTCAGTATTTATAAGCAAGGATGCAAACTTAGCAATTTAAATTTTAGCGGATTACTACAAATCCACTAAATAAACCAAAGTTATCACCCCGCTAAAATCCCGTTATACGGTATCTGATAATCACTACAAATGGGTCAAAACAGATACTTTGCATTTAATAATACAATTTGCCTCTCTGAGTGAATTTCAATTACAAACATGGGTCCTTGAGATATAGTACAACAAACAACAATCATGGATATGTCATAGCAAATGAAACTCACTGAACTGTATTTCGAGTGAAATGAGCTTTGGAAGGAGAATCAAAGAAATCTGAAGAATGTTATTGACCCAAGTCTCAGAAAATATTTCCTCATATTGCGTTTGAAAGCCCTAACATGCTAATTACGATGCCTTATGTTGTTATTTTTTATTTTGCTGAAATAAGATTCATTTTCGTTTGATTTTCTGCCTTGGACGTTTATGATTTTAACATGTACATGTAGCAACCAAATGTCAGATAGACTGATTATTCATGCATATGTTTTAATGAATTTATTATGATAACTCAGTTATTTGGGGGTTACAGCAATATCGATGATTGTATTTTAATATGATTACAATATTGTTTTGATCATAATGTGCCTTCTTTTTACAAGAAAATGACTTAAAACTTTTTTTTTTACTTCTTGTCTAAAAAAAATTATTATAAGCTGTCCCCATGCATGTAAAAATGACCATGATTCGTACAGGTCTGTATCTACACAACAAGGCAATGCTTGCCATGGGAAAATATCTATTTGTGTTTCTATTTACAAAAGAAAAATTAAAAAATTGTGTTTCAATCCAACTCGTAGGGATAGAACATATCTATTATACACATCTTTTTATAACAGCCTTCTTTGTAAATAATATCTGTCGTTGGGTAATATATTTTGTCGGAAATGTTTCATACTATTTGTAAGGCCATTGCTTAATACTAAACTTCAGTATGGAGAACTCCATCTGCGTAATATAAAGGACTCACGGCGGGTGAATGGTCGAAAGGGAATGCTTACTCCTCCTTGGTACATTATCTCACCTCTTACATTTCCAGAGTCCGTGTTTTTTGCCTTGATCACGATCCATTTGTTCCCTGGTTTTTGAGCTTTGTCACCGCTCTTTATTTTTACCCTTTAAATTATTCTTATTTATCAAAACTGCACATTAGAAAATAGTTTGTTTGCGCTAATTCGAGAAGTAACATAACTGTCATATGTTGTTCGTATGCTGGACTTAATAAACCTACACGACAGACCTTCTATATTCTTCTATAATTGAAAAAAGAAGAAAACAGTAAAAATGAAATAAATATTAACAGTACAAGTGGGGTAGTTTTTTTTTTCTTGACATCACAGGTACAGAAGCCCGTTGAGGCCAGTTCAGAGATAGAAATATTTTTATTGCGTTTAAACGCAAAACATTGCGTTTAATCGCAATAATCATTGCGTTTAAACGCAAAAACTATTGCGTTTAATCGCAAAGTTATTGCGTTTAAATGCAAAAAACTTTGCGTTTAATCGCAAAAGATTGCGATTAAACGCAATCTTTTGCGTTTAAACACAATAACTTTCCGATTAAACGCAATAGTTTTTGCGTTTAAACGCAATAATATTTTTGCGATTAAACGCAATGATTTTTGCGATTAAACGAAAAACACTTTGCGTTTAATTGCAAAAGATTCCGATTAAACGCAATCTTTTGCGTTTAAACGCAATAACTTTGCGTTTAAACGCAATAGTTTTTGCGTTTAAACGCAATAATATTTTTGCGATTAAACGCAATTCTTTTTGCGATTAAACGCAAAACACTTTGCGTTTAATTGCAAAAGATTGCGATTAAACGCAATCTTTTGCGTTTAAACGCAATAACTTTGCGTTTAAACGCAATAGTTTTTGCGTTTAAACGCAATAATGTTGCGATTAAACGCAATTCTTTTGCGATTAAACGCAATAGTTTTTCCGTTTAAACGCAATAATATTGCGATTAAACGCAATACTTTTGCGTTTAAACGCAATAATCTTTTAGTTCAAAGGCAATAATCTTTGTGTTTTAAGGCAGTCATTTGTATTAAACCTTGCAGAGTACGGTGGACCCACGCATACTTATATCTTTTATTTCTTTCTCTTTTTACAATTTGCGTATTGTTTAGCTTTATAGAATCAGGAACCCGTTTTACAAAAGAACTTTCGATTAAGACCAGAATTTAATTCTGCCAATAACTTTCTAATTTACATTAAATAGAAAGTGGTTTTAATATTTTTAATAGGTATATAGAAAGATACCTTTATGCTAGCAGTTGTAAACAGAATCATTCATTTTGCAAAATTTTACAATCAACTAAAGTTTTTGGTCTTTGTCGTAAGTTCTTTTGTAAAATGGGCCCCAGGATTCTCGGTGCAAACGCTCTCTTGAAGGATAAATCACTAATAAGTATTTATAGAGGAGACAAAAATGTCGGGTTGTAAAAACAAAGGCAACCTAAGAACGAGACATGTGTTAAGCTTATTATTCTCTACATTCTTAATGAAGCTTTGGTCAGTTGCTCTGTTAAGAAAACTGTCCCCTACGTTGCGGTCACAAGTTTAACCCATGTATTAAGGGATTTTTGGAAAGGACTGAGGAAATGTTGGAATTACGTACAACATGATGAAGTATTTAAACTTTAATGTCAAGATCTAGTAAATAAAAGGAGCCTACAGATTTTTCAAATTTGAGAACTGAATTCCTTTTATGATGCTTTATAACTATAGCTTGGTCAAATAAGGTGTGTCGGGGTATAATTTGTAGGTAAACAAGACGAAAATTCATATTTTATACTGTCATTTTCAATGAAAAATTAAGAAAGTCAGTCATAAATATGGGAGTTTTTGTCATATCAGACAAATGAAATGTATCCAGATTGCCTACAGTCTCTCAGAAAACAGTAATTTATATGTTCTTAGCCTCTTCTTTGAAATAATGTAAACTTGAATATAGGAACAGGGATTACTTTTTATACGATTTCAAATTGAACGCTATGAAAATACTTTATCTTCTACATAAGTCTATTAGAGTCGCAAAGTACGGAAAAAAGAAAGTTGGGATTGATTATGACTTCATAATGGATCTAGCACCAAAAAGACATTCTAAAGTCGTTTACTAGATCTTGACCTTAATGTATATTCATAACCCTTCCTATGGTTGCATACAGTAAACACAAGAACATATGTGATGGATTTATACGAGATCAAAATCAAATGAAAACAGATTGATCGATGTGCACTACATGTATCAAATTGACAAGTGTTATTAATACCACTGAAACATTCTCTGTACGTTGTGATTAACGTAAGCAATTAGTCATATCAGAGACTTCATTAAGAGTCTTGGGTTCTAATACATTAAAGACATTCAGGTTTTTAGGATGCCATTGTTTTACTGCAATTTTCAAAAACTGGAAAATTTTGCAAAAAGACACAGAACAAATCGGATCTTCTTAAAGTTGAAGTGTCGGATCCTAGTACATGTACATGTAATTATAAGCTTTGACTAATTCATGTTTGATTTTGAAACTACAGTATCATTGTGTTTAAATGCAAAACAAATCCTTATAAAGTAGGATTATTGCGTTTAAACGCAAAGATTATTGCGTTTAATCCCAATACTATTGCGTTTAATCGCAAAAATTATTGCGTTTAAACGCAAAAATTATTGCGTTTAATCGCGAAAGTATTGCGTTGAAACGCAAAAGTATTGCGTTTAAACGCAAAAGATTCCGTTTAATCGCAATCTTTTTCGTTTAAACGCAAAGTGTTTTGCGTTTAAACGCAATATACATTGCGATTAATCGCAATCTTTTGCGTTTAAACGCAATGATTATTGCGATTAAACGCAATGTTTAAAAAATATTATAACATATAATATATATAATATTATAACATATAATATAAACGCAATAAAAAATATTTCTTTCTCTGAACTGGCCTCAACGGGCTTCCGTACACAGGAGAAAAGAAGGCTGCTTTCTTTAGAGGAAAAATTATTGACGTGCTTTTTCGTTTTTTTTTAATTTTTCTCAATGCCGGCAAAAGTCATATAGTTGCTTTTATCATTCATTAATTATCTTGAACCATACCCAGCCACCCCAACCCCCACCCCCGGCAGTCCGTAAATTTAATTGTTTATCAATAATTTTTTTCTATTTTAAAATTCTAAATTAATGTTAAGATCTTCATTATTTTACTCTATGATTTCTATATACATCTCGTCTGATACAGCTGTGGGAGTAAGATACGTGTCGTGCTGTTCCTCTGATGTATCTTCAACTGGAATGTATTTTGATTCTCTTGGAATATCATGTAAATCAATTTCCTCATACTGACTCGTAGCGAAGCTCACCGGAGATAAATATGAAGTATCATCACAAGTATTTACGCTTTGAAATCCTTGGAAAACAGCTCTTTCTACGTTGTCCATTTCCTGTCCTACCGACAAATAGTTGCTGTTTTCTTTTACAGTACTTTTCTCAATTGAACGTATACTTGCACTTTTCTGAAAAAATTTTCTGTAAATATTTGATGCAACAAAAATCGCAAACAACAATACAAACAGCCCCACTAAGCATAGCATGATGAAACCTGTGTTACTTGACAGAAAAGTTTCATTTTTTGTCTCTATTTCTTGAGTAGTAGTCACATTGGTACTGGTTTTCAATGGGATTTGGTTATTTCTATCATCCAACTTGTTCTTTTTAAAAGGTAAGGAAGGTGTAAAGATGTTGTTGAATGAGTGATATTCACTTTTGTTTTCAAAATTCTGTAACGAAGCGACTGTCCCTTGCCCTGTTTATCCAAAAAGATAAATATGCATTCAAATAAATATTAAAGTGCATTCGGAAATACCTTTTATTGCCTGGACAACATAATTATGTAATTGTCTTTTTAGGGAGAATAATTTATTAATGTAAGGACACATTTTCTTAGCATTTATTATATAATCTTGCGGCTGAATTAAAAGGTGGTTCTTGATTTTAACAATACAGTTTACTAATGTCAATTTTTAGCTTGCAACTATAATACGTTAGAAATTCGATTTTGCATAGCATTTGTACAAAAGCGCTAAATATATCCACCAACGTTAAGTACATATTGTATTAGGAAGATTACCGACCTTCGGATTCCGAACAACCATAAGAGAAATGACAAAGATCTTCTGAACATGAACATTCCTTTTCACAACGCTTCCCATAATATCGATATTGACATTTTCTAGAACAGTGCCAGTGATAATATCCAGGTGGGCATTCTGAAACTCATAAAATCTATCAATGTCATGATATTATACAAAGTTTTTATATAAAATGATATGATAATTTTTTTTTCTATAAATCCTCACCCTCACATTTTTCTGTGGCTTTATTATACTGCGATCCTGGACAACATACTGAAATACCACCTCTACAAAAAATCATATACATGTGAGATGATTTTAAAGGAACAATATCAGGGGTGTTTGTTTTGCAATCAAAAAAAATGTATTAGAATGTGATATTTACCGTAAACATTTACCACTAGATTCTAGAATCCTAACCTGAATGAGACAAACCAAAGTATATCGCAAAATCATCCTTAATAACATTTCAGCTTCGAAATTATTGGCGATTAGTTTCCTATTTTACATATTTTAATAATTAAGACATTTCCTGTTTATGTCAGCGACTAAATCTATATCAGGAAGGACGTTCAAACTTCTAATTTGTTTTATTCCCACTTTATAGTTTGTGTATTTGTAAGCTTGTGTAATTCAAAATCTTGATAATGAAAAGAGAATATATTGATTCAGAAATCTTTATAGTCATAAGAAATAATTGCGATATAAATAGCATGATGAAAAACGTGTTTTATGACAAAGCCAATGTGAATAAAAATGCTTTGTTTGTATAAGCACGTGCTTACAATGGTGAAAAACTCAGCTCTCTTTCGGGGAAAAAATTAAGAAGTGGTTATTCTTGTCCTGAACCCTTTTCTCAATGATTTACTAAATAATTTTTCAACATTCGTAATATATAAAACATGTATGCATTACGTGACTCATGAATCAAAAGACCCGCCTTGAAAGCGGATGTCAAATGTGTAATCGTTCAATCAAGTATTAATTTCAAGGTTTTGTACTTGGCACCTAAACGCAGCCTAACATTTCATTTCCTTTCCTCTTCATATGTCCTAGTTTTGTTATAATGAATTTTGAACTTTTTGGTATTTGTGATAAAATGAATAAAAACATATAAGGAAGATCAATTAACAGACATCAGTCATGGTTTGATTAACTGGATTGAAATTTAATTACATGTATGTGTCGTGGTTTCTTATTCTGAATTTCATAATTCTTTTTCTATGAAGCATTTCTTCTGCGTTTGCTTTTTATTTAGTATTCAAAATAGCGATTCATCGACTGTAATTTAAATGATGTAGATTGCAAGTAAATGGTTTAAAAAGAATTCAATTTCAAGCACAATAACAAACCTACCAAACACTATACTTATTTAAAAATTCTACCTGATTAATTTAAATTATTTAATACGTCTGGCCTTCGTTATCTGAGATTTAATCAAAGAGCTTGTTTTTCGCAATATTGTAATTAAGTAGGAAATATGACAGACATATACAATACAAAATGATGTACATAAAGGTTCAGGTATTACTGTATTTTGCTGAAAAAAATAATGGAAGAAAAGTAATCATGCTAAATATTTTTATATAAAAATTTATATATGAAATCAAGTATATATATATATATATATATATATATATATATATATATATATATATATATATATATATATATATATATATATATATATATATATATAATTAGGGATGTCAAAATATTTATTTTCCTTAGTCGATCATTCGATTGCATTATTCGAACGATAGTCGAATATTCGGAACATTTTCTGAAAATAAAATTTTTATTTCAAACTTTATTGGCACATACTCAAAAACCTTTTTCTTAAATCTTTTTAAAAAGTAACATCAAAATTAATGCAACGTAACGCGTGGATAGCATGATTCTATGAAATAAATTTAGAAACCTAGTTCTTCAAAAATTATTATTTCCCCGCTTTATTAAGTAAGCATTAAAAAAATTGCCAGCCGATATTTTTTAAAGCTTATTATGAAATAAAGTGGAGAGGGGGGGGGGCTATCAAAATGCCCTCAAACACTTTAAAATGTAAGCGCATTGTTTTAATAATTATCGAAGTATTAAAACAGGTTTATTCCTTGCATTTGAGCAAACTTGAAATAACAAAAGATAATTGGTACATCGTATAAGATCAAGTCCAATTAATAATTTTACAAACAAAGCCCATTATATTGGCTCGTAATCTATTACAAAAACAACACAGGCTGTTACTAATTCTCGCAGTAGTGAAGCACTTAAAATTGCTGTACTTTCTATACGTACATGAAAATCTACCGTTTTTTGTTGAGGAAAATTATCGACTGTCTATGAGGAAAGTCTGTTTCTCAAGACTGTTTTTTATGAGAATTCCATCTCATCTATCAGTCATTTATTGCATTTATTTAGATAAAATAATATTCGAATGTCGTTTCATTATTCGATCGTCGGTTCATTCGACTGATAGTCGACTATTCGTTGACATCCCTATATATAATTCTGGTTGTAACGCTGTATTTGATTGGATAAAAAATTTACTTTATATCGTATAAAATGGGTTGCCTACGTCACAATATGACTTGCGTCAAAAATGTATCGATCCGACTGACGTTACATTCAAATTTTGTACAAATTGAAGTCATATTTAAGGACATTCATCTTTTTTTCTTACACCAAATGAATGAAAATTAAATTACAAGGAATGAATTTAATAGCTACTCAATTTATACGTTTAAACTGAGTTGGAACAGTTTACGCTTTTTTATAAACCGCTTCATTGTTACGCATCATCATAGTACTTGGAAACTTCCCAATCAATCATGTTTGATGTTGGATCAATGTTTCTTCAAATCTTTGTTAGTATCATCAGTAGTAATTTCATTTGCACCTGATTTCTACTCATATGAACATAACATTAAGGCACATAAATTCTTGGGTGAGGGATGGCGTGGAGGGCTGCAGGAGGCCTGTCCCTCTCCCCACTCTTTGAGAATGTAAATTTAATTAAAATTTTTAGAATAATCATTTTCTATGCAAGCCCTCCTCCCCTCGTTTATGGACCTTCACATTCCATAACAAGATGTGTTTGTGAAACACTGATGCCCCCGTATGGCAGCTTATGGCGAAGGTTAAAGTTTCTCAAATACAATTCAAAATCCAGGCCAAAAGATAAAAAATGTTGGTACCCAAAGAAAGGTTTTTCTCGAGGAATATACCTATGATATTTGAAAGACCTAGCTGCAACTGTTCAAAAGTTATGACGAAGGTTAAAGTTTCCTAAAAATAAGTAAAACGTCAAGGTCAAGGTCAAAGTGGTTGGTATCCAAAGGAAGGTCTTGTCACAAGGATTACATAGGTGAAATATGAAAGCCCTAGCACAAACCATTAAAAAGTTATGACCAAGGTAAAAGTTTTTCGAAAGTAGGTCAAACTCCTATGTCAAAGGTCAAAGGGTCAAAGTGGTTGGTATCCAAAGAAAGGTCTTTTCACAAGGATTACATATGTGAAGTATGAAATCCCTAGCACCAGCCATTCAAAAGTTTTGGCCAAGGTTAAAGTTTTTCAAAAGTAGGTCAAACTCCAAGGTAAAGGTCAAAAGGTCAAAGTTGTTTGTATCCAAAGGAAGGCCTTGTCACAAAGAACACACATATGAAGTTTGAAACCCCAAGCACCAACTGTTCAGAGGTTATGGCCAAGGTTAAAGGCTCATAAAATTAAAATTTTGCAAAAGTGAGTCAAACTCCAAGGTCAAAAAGTCAATTATGATGGTACCCAAAGAAAGGTCTTGTCACAGGGAATTCACATGTGAAATGTGAAAGTCATAGCTCCAACCAATCAAAGTTATGGGCAAGGTTAAAGTTGACAACAGACAAACAGACAGACAGGACAAAAACAATATACCCCTGGAATCTTTCGATCCGGGGGCATAAAAAAACTGAGCTGAATAAATTCTTTTCCTTTGGAGGGGGGGGGGGGTGTTAGTCAAAGATTTGTTTTCATGTAACTTGTCATTTCTTTCCTCATAATGCCCCCTTCTTCAAAGTCAATCCTATATATGTTCCTGACATTTTTTTCTACATTGCATCTAAACTAGAATTAAAAATTCCAAAATAATACAACTTGTTATGTTTTTTAACCACGTTTCCCTATGTTTGGCTAGTACTTCAGTGAATGTGGACAAGTAAGATGTACGTAATTCTTTAGCGTGTGTGTGTGTCATTTAATCATTGAATCATATAAGAAAACAATTGCTGGGTTTTTTTCGGTCAATATGATGATTAAACCACCTTCAAAGTACAATATCTCTTCGGGCTCGGTGAATATTGTACTCCTCAGGGATCTAAATCATCGTATTGTTTTTTCTTTAAAGGCGGCAATAATTGTATAATATACTTAGTTGCAGAAATGTACATGCTAACCCTTAACTATTTATTTTCATTTTATAGCATATATGTATGATTTTATTCAAATCTTATGAATAACTATACTTTATCACATTTTACGCCTTTATACAGTCGATATAGCTCATAGGATATCATTTCATATTTTCGGCTTATGAGTGAATTTGATCAAGTCAAAATGGAAGATTTACATATATAAGAGAACTAAAAGCTCATAAATAAACGACTTAAAAGCGTTAGATTGCTATAATTATATAAACATGTTATAAAAGAATCCCCAATGATTTGTTGATACACACAACTCGTTTGACAAAATATCCTTATAGTTATCTAACCAAAAACATAGGAGATCCTGTATTTATATCACGGTAGGAAAACAGATATGTTAGATAGAAAAGAAGCAATCGATTATCGACATTGTACATTAAGCTTGAAAGAGTTACTTGTTCCTGGTCACACACAATGCTCAACACCAATGTAGACATGGTCCCCAAAATTTAAATGCCTTACTTGTCCTCATTTTTTCATCGTGTGACAGATTGTTTTGACGCCTATGTAGAGTAGGCTAACCGATAACATGCAGTAATAAATATTGATTTTGAGGGGTACCAAGGTCAATGTCAGAATATGTCGCATAATAGTCCATGAATTCAGTTAATTATAGGTCATATGAACACTAGAAATATTAAACATTTTACAGAATGAAGAATTCTTTGTTATAGAGATTGATAAAAAAAAATATCGTATCTCTTATTACAAGGGTAATTTTAATAAAGTAAGGCTTGTAAAAAAATTATTCAAAAGTGCTTGCTCAAATAAATTAGGAATAATATTTTCCACACAATGTACTTTCTTTGGAAAACTAAAGTTGAATTTCGGTATCTCAAACATCAATATCTCGAATGCCAAGGTTATGTCGAAATAAGTTAGATACTCTTTGTCCATTTTCGTCATGTATTTTTACCTTTGTCTCTCTCAGAGTCCCCGGATATCTTGGTTTTCTTAGTTTCATCGAGTTCAGATAACGAGATCTGACTGTGCA